CCCGACACCCCCACTCTTTCCCCTATCCACCCAGCCCTCGTGCCGCACTAAAGAGCTTTCACCTGCTCTCATAACTGTACATTGTATACATACACACACATTCATGTTTTCCAGTGGTTGCCTCCCTGCAGATGTTTTGATACAGAAGACACACGGCCTTGAATTACTGAGTTTGTGGAGATAATCTAAAGGGTGATTCATCCATGCTCTGCAAAACAAAGTGCAGGGGGCTCTTGTTTTGGTTCAGAAATGACAAGCAGCATTAGAAAAGATTTAAGTCCTGCATTAAGGAAAAAAAAAAACCTTTTGGTCGGGTTGGTCAAAAGGCCTTGAATGTGAAAGAGACTGGTACCATCCACATACCGCCAGTCCCTTCATTAAGGCTACAAAAGACACACACACGCCAGTAAATCACGGAGAAAGAGTTCGCCCTGGCAGGTGTACTCCCATTCCATCTCAAGAGAGCCCGCTGACACAAAATGAATATAATTCAAAGAGAACACACTGTGCTGCGGAGACATTTGGGGCAAAGTGGACAGTATGAGGACAGTGTCAGGAACCATGATGCATTCCTGGGCATCTATCAAGGCAAAAAGCTCTTAAAACTTGGGACGAAGGTCGATATAAATGTGAGCGTGGCTTCAAACCAAACTTCTGACGGTTATGAGATTTTATGCTAAGATCGCATCGGCAAAAAAGCAGGATATTGGTATAAATTGCACATATGATGCAAGAGGTATACAAGTTAAAACATAGGTCTTAGAATTAAATAAAGACCAGTCTCAGATTCCTCGTAATCAGGGCTCTCAAAACCATGTGCAATCAATAACTATATCGTTTACAAAATCCATCAAATGACTCGTGATTACTTACCTTTGGGTCTGCGATTTTAAAACAGCTCTTCAAGTAATTTTCAAACTTCTGCTCGGTCTTCGGTAGTGGTTTCCCCTGATGGACAAAGGGCCGTTAAATCATCAGCTTAGCCTCGCGTCACACATTCAATTAAGAGAGGTCATTTGCAAAAAAATGGATGACAGCCTTACCTCCTTGGCGGCCGTTGACAACTTGCTCTTAATCTCAGTCAGAGAGGGAGATTTAGACGGGCCAGCCTGGGGTTTGTCTTTTCCTGGGGCAGGTGTCTTTGAAAATAAAACAACTAGATAAGAAGAACTGATTCAAGTGTCGAATAGAGAGAGATTTAAAGAGTGGTAGATAAAGAGATCACTTCAATAAGGCCGCGATATGTCTTGTTTTACTCAGGTTCAGATCTTGCTTTTAACCTGTAGAGGGTAAATGTAATGTAATACCTTTTAAAGACCCTTTCCATCCCTTTTAAGACCTCATCGCCACTTTGAGTTTTACCGGTTACCTTGGCGACACACTTTACCTCACATTTACTATATACAGCATTGATTGTCCTTCCTCCTTATCTTCCAACCATTTGGACGCAAACTTGCATTTCCCCATAACGATGTTGCTTAGCAACCGGCGTAAACGGACCTTTGCGCGCTGTCCTGTTCAGGTGACGTCAAATCCAACGGGATGCCATCAATAAACTACAGAATCACACTACACGCCTACGCAATGATTACATTCAGGCAGACTGTAGAATACAACCTCTCTGGACTATTGATATACTTATTGAAAACAAGCTACAAAATGTAATACCTTGGGAAATGCCGTTTAATACTTTTTAATAGCCTTAATTTTCGCTAATTTGATTGATCAACTTGTAATACTTTTGAAGACCCCGCGGACACCCTGCTGTATCTTTCTGTGCTCTTTTTTGAACTCAACACACAACTTGTTAGTGATAGATCCACTTGCCCCGAGACTAACAATCGACGCGGTCGAAGATAAACAGTTGCGATTCTCTACAGCGGGGGAATAAGGTTTAGTGTACGTTGCCACCCACCGCGATCGATTTCCTTCCGCACACACAACGCAATCACTACAGAAGTACAGGTTCGATATTTAGTTGCTGTAAGCGCTTCCTATCTAAAGCCGTCTGACACACAGAGACCTCCCGTAACGTCTGGTAAAGGTACGTGTACGTATATATTTGTGATGTCCTTTCCTTTTGGGGTTTTTCTATTATCCTGGGGAAATTTACACCACGAACAGTTGGTCATAAAAAAAAGAAGTGGTAAGTCTTTACAAAAGTTCTCCTTCCTTTCACAATAGAAAGAACACCCTTCAGTATTAAAATCAGTCTTTTTTTTGGTAATACTCTAAAGAAGAAAGGAACAAGCAGCAATACTAACTGTACTCCCGTTTTTTGTGTAAACTTTTTGTTAGCAGAACTGAAGGTAACCTCACATCCCGAACGGGAGAGGACGAACGGTTGTTTATTTTTTGTAATTAACACGGACTACCATAAACATTCTTCTACCACATAACCCGATCGTAAACAGAAAAACCACGAAAAATAGAGGCAGGGGTCGACCACAGAGTGGCGGTTCGGACATTTGTGTCTGAGTCTGTCTCGCGCCAGATGCTAATGCGACGNTTATTGGGCTTTTTCTTAATCAACTAAGATTTGATTGAAAATGTTTTCACCTTTAATTGACTGAATTTATTAGAAAGTTGGGCTTAGGGTTAAGGTTAACACGTGAATTAACACATGAATACAGCTGTGTAGTATATTTGTATATACTTATAATTAAGAAGTACAATATAAGACAAGCAAAAGTTTCTGGTGTGGGCCGTATTACATTATACTTTTAGAATTAGCTGCGGGCCAATTAAAAGTGGGCCACGGGCCGCATTTGGCCCCCGGGCCGTGGTTTGGCCCCCGGGCCGTGGTTTGGACATCCCTGGTTTAAATCCTGTTAAAAGTGGGAGTTTCACATCTGTTCACAAAAATGTACAAGGTTTTCCATGTCATGCTCTTTACTGCTTTTCTTTCCGGGGAGTTGTGATCACATATATATGTAAGAACATTATACGTCTCTAAAAGCTATTTCTCAAATTGCCAAATATGCTGTTCATCTAAAAACAGTTAAAATTAGTTTAAATGCTAAAATGCAGAGTTCCTGTTGTCTCTGATTTATATCATATATTGAAGTGAATGTATTTGGGTTTTGGAATGACACAACACATTTAAAGACTTCACCTTGGAGTGGGATGGACATGTTCCACATTTCTTTAACATTTCATAGACTAAATTATTTATTAATTAATCTAGAAGTTAATCAGCAGATCCATAATCAAATTAATTGGTAGTTGCAGCCCTAGATATCCCTAATTGGTTTTATGTCACATTATTTTTGTTTTAATCTGAAGACCAGCTTCACTGCACCTGTAAACCGGTGTTGCTGAGAAACCTGGCTCTTATGGCGCATTTCCACTGCAGGGCCTCGCACGGCTTAGTACGGTGTAGTTAGGCCTTGGTAGAACAGGCTCACTTTATGCTGCGTTTCCATTACAGTTTAGTAGCTGGGGCAGTAACTATAGTAACGCAGTGTAGGCGGAGCCGTGACGTCATCTTCAATGGGAAACACAAAACCAACATCAGCCGTTAGCTGTTAGCCCTCAGAGCTCACAGCTCCTCATATCTGTTCAGAAACTGGACAAAAGTTAAACAAGTACAAACCACAGACCGTCTGTGTCATGGCGAATACAGTCGCTGGTTTATTTATGTCTGTAGGCCGTTGATGTGAGTGTGGACGGAGCAGCTACAACGTTAGCTTAGCCTGATCGATCCGATCTCCAAAAAACACACATTTTAAAAGGTTTTTCGTCTGTAGACCGGTATCAGTATGTTGTTACTTCGGCATAATTTTAATTACAATTAAATCACGGTTCATTTTGTTGTAGTTGTAGCCCCCTTGCCAGCGATTCTCTCCGACCAATAAGCAGTCGAGAGTGTTTACCTCACTAGTTTAGCATATTCAGTCCGGTTGTTGACCCGGTAAGAACCTCGATTTTGGAGGGCCAGAAAAAAGGGGAAAAAGTGGCCCTGAGTCGGAAAGCAAAAAAAAAGCTTAAACCGTGCTACGTGCTGCAGAAGTGCAATTAGTGGACCATGTACATTAGAGGGTCCTATAACGGTAAAAACAAGACTTGGGAGCAGATCACAGCTCTTGGGTTTCCACCAGATAGGTTTCATCCTGAGTTTCAGTTCCCAGGCTTCTCTTTTGTTCGAGCAGTGAGAGTGCCACCTGGAAACAAGCTCCTTTATGGCCATGTGGCGCACCGGACACCAAGAAACGCAACCCCCAGGTACAGTTACAAAACAAGGTGTACAAGGTGTAGCAGCACACCTGAGTCCGAAGCTGAGTCTCAGGGAGGAGGCTCTCTTCAGGCCGGGACAGGCTGGATTTGTTTGTGAATGGGCCATTTAGCTGGAATTTCAACATGTTGATACTGGCGCATTCCTCGGCAGTCTGCAGAGTACCAGTTACAAATATAGACAGCAGTTAGAGTATTTCTAGTGTTAAAGCTATAAATATAAGAGCTCATATTTAAAACGTTTTTCTTTTGAGGAAGAAACATGAAATGCAGCAAAACTTCCCAAGCAATTTGAAGTTCACTGTTTAACTTTTAAATCCAAAGCCTGTGCACATTTTTGTTGTTGTTTAATTGCAGTGGAAAACATCAGGAAAGACCCTAAGGAGGTTTTACACCTGTGGTATTGCAGGTGCACCTCATACATCAAACACTGCAGAGTTCTGCTAAATAATGTGCCTCAAAGTGCATCTTTACGGGAGAATTAGGACATTATAGAGTTTGTTTTGCTAAAAAGTCTAACGTGAAGACCAGCAGTTTTCACCAAACTTCCTAAGGTCCCAAGTCCATTGGTTCTTACCCAATAATACTTAAACATTCAAGGTAAAGATGAAGTTTGTTATTGCAAAAGTTTAAACGATATCAGTGTTTGGATAGAAGTTCAGATTCCTTTCAGTATACTAATGCATAGCAAGTTTAGCAAAAGCAAAGCAGCCCTCTGTACAGACTTGTTCTGATTAGGCAGTGATTTCCCACCTGTTCAGACGTTTCTTTTGGGTTTGGATTTCTCTAACTGTGAACTTTGGGTGTTGTTTTAAGAAGATGGATGTTTTCAGAATGTGAAGCTGTCTTTTCAAAGAGCCAGAGGACCACCAATCGTTGGTTTGGACCAAAATCTTGTTTCCATAGAATTCAAACATACATGCAGGAATCTTTTTGGTTTTGGCATTCACGACAATGGATAAATGTTTCCTTTAACCATTTTTCTTCCAATGGTCTGAAGCCTCTTCGATGTTAAGGAGAAAGTTATATACCTGTCTAGAATCCACGTTGAATAACTAACATCATTTGGATTAACTCTAAAGACGGCATCAAAGAGTTTCAAAAACAGCAGTGTGGAAGGTTTTAAAGGTCCCCTATTATACTGTTTTTCATCAATATATTATATTACAAACATCTGTTTCAGCCCTGTTTCAAAAGTGCTGATTCTCTGTCTGTTACTTTAGATGAAAATAAGGAGCAACTCCCCTCTGAGAGATATTTGGTTAAAAAGCACACAATGGGCGCTTTCAGACTGGAGTACTTTTACCCGTACTCTTCCCGTTTGGAATTTTGCACTCACACCGAAAAGAGAACTTAGTTCAGAGAACTTTTACCCCCATTTGTAGTGCCTGCTAGAGAGGTGGTACTATCCTGGGTAGAAAAAAGTACCAATTTCTGATTGGCTGGGCATATTGCAAACCACGCCCCGTAAAACTCTGAAAAGTTTTGTGAAGCCGCCATTGTATTTGCTGGCATTAGCATTATTAGCATTAGCCCCGCGCACCAATGGAGAGAGAATAACTTATGGCAACACAAACAAAAAACATGGGAGCGGTGGAGTGATGAGGAGGTGTCGGCGTTCTGGCGATTTACTCGGAAGGCTTCATCTGGGAGTCCCAGCAGCTTCTACTGAAGCCAGTCCCCAACTCCGGGGACTTCCGGCTGGGAACTTCGGGTGGCAGTATACACAGTGAAGTGGTTTGCGGCCTGCCAGTAAACCCAAAGCAGAAGAAGAAGAAGTGACATCAGCTGCTTCATTTGCGTAATCTTCCCTCAGGGAACTTATTCCGGTGTGAACGCGATCTGTACTTAGTTCCAAGGGGGTACTAAGTGCTGGCACTAAGTGCTGGGCACTAAGTACGGCATTGGCAAAGTACTTGGTGTGAAAGTGGCTAATGGAATGGCTGCTGCTAGCCACGCCCCTTTGTAGCGTAACGCAGCTTT